ATACAGTAATAAAATATACCGCGCTATAGATTTTCAGTCTTGGCAGAATTTTACTTGGGATTCAGTCAACTTGGAAGTCCACTTTAAAAAGAAAACCGAGCGCAACAAATTTGCAACTATCGAATGTTCATATGGCGTTTAGAGTCCCTTCATACCCAGAGTTACGACATCTCAATTCTGGTCGGGCTTGGTTGGGCTCTGAGACCACTGAAAATGGCTTTAAAAAAATCCAATTCTGATTGGTTCTCGCTCATGGAGTCACAAAAGAGTGCACAAAGATGGCGGCGGCTCGAATGTGAACAAAAATCATAAAATATATCCTAATTGTGAATTATCAAGAGTAAATTTCTATTTTCATCGCACCGAAATGAAAATAGATTGAGAAATTATTCACAAATCAATCTCATTTTATTTTATTGCAATTTCTTTGGATAAGTTTTGATCGGTTTTGCTGATGGTGTTGTTTTGGGATGACAGACATCGCAGGATTCCTTATTCTTATCCCTTTCAATATCATTCGTTTGGGTGCACACTTTTGTGACACCATGTCAGGCCCAGACCAGCTGATAATCGCGATGTCTTAACTTTGGGTATAAAGGTACTCTAACGGCATTTTCCCTGAACATGGCAGTACAGGGTGTCTACTAAAACAGGCTGGCCAAAAATCAGTATTCATACCGTACTTTTTCAGTACATTCCCAAGAATTTCAGTACCTATTTAACAGAAAAATTCAGTACAGCTCCATTCGACGAAATTCAAAAAATTTCAAAAATTTGAATTTCTCGCTCAAATTGCGACAAAAATGACAAAAAAACGAAAAAAATTCCGAACCTTCTTGAGGAACTCCCGCAATTTTTCAGTACTTCCTGACCACCCTTAAAAAATCGGTACTATTTCCAGACTTTCCGGAAATTCCGGACTTGTAGACACCCTGCAGTATTCACCCTAGATCCACCATAAATATTTCTACTTAGCACACGGTGTCTAGTTTTCTTCGCAAAGCTCATTCCTTGATTTTCCCGTGATTTTACCTGATTTTCAGGAGCTCATTCCCTGATGAGAAACGGAAGTTTTCTCCCACTTTCCCGGTATTCTCTTGAGGAAAAGAATATACTTTTCCACAGATTCAGATATGAATATCGATTTTAATTAACTTTACAGCTATTTCTTTGGCGCACATTCAAAATTTTAATTTATAAAATATTCCTAGTGTTGATATTGAAGTTGGAGAAGAGATTCCCGGTTTCTGGAACAGATTCCCTGATTTTCCCGGTAAATTTTCATCCCCTGATGAATCCCGGTTTTTTCTAGCTTTTAAAAAACTAGACACAATGACTAAGCACTTCCGAGTTGTCCCGGCGTTTGTTGACACCGTTTTCGCTGACCCAATTCGATCGGATCGGTCTGCCAAGTCACCACCCGTGAAGGGTGTCCAAGATTCTTGACCCGGATTCCGCGACTCCTTAAACTTGAGCTGCGCCTCCGGGAACCCTCCGACTCCCCCGGAGCTGACAACGCAGCCTCCCCCTTCCAACCTTCAATTTTACGACGGCATGCGCCGACTGCCGCGCCCCCTCCGCGAAACCCACCCTCTCCCCCGCGTGCTCGTTTCATTCACAACCCCCGCCGACACACTCGTGATGTTGTGAGAGCTCGTTACATTATTCCCCGCTCTCTTTCATCCTCTCCTCGTTAAAAATTCTCCACCACTCGACACTTTGTTTTCTTATCGTGCTGCATTCATCGTCGTCCTTGCTACCGGTTCCAGTGACAACAAACTTTCCTACCTCGTCGACCGTGAGCGAGTGGAGATCCGGCCGATGGAGGGGACGCCGTTTAAAGGACTTAATGGCTGTCTTTGTAGGCGAGAAAGAAGGGATGAACTAAACGGGGGAAAAACTGTCAACCACTAGACGAACTTGGAGACTAAGTATCTTGGTCACAAACTGATTGCGGTGGATGCACGGGTCGTAAGACGGTATGTTGGAGTTTTTAGCCAACGTGCGTAAAAAATTCAGCGTAAAGCTGATATCTCAATACAGAGGGAAAGAGCTCACACAAAAGCAAAATTTCCCCTCAAAGAGATACGCTGTTTGGTGCAACAAACAACCATTCAGGACGGCAACTGCAGACTGCAAGTATCTTAGTGTCAAGGATGCAAAAACGGAATACATTTTGCAATAAGGAATTACTATTTCTGGCTCAACATATAGGTGCTATTAGAGTACCTTTAAAGACAGAGTATGGCCATTCGTATCTTTTTACTACAGGAAAACTGTTCCGCTTTTTGATTGGTCAACGAGTTTTTAGGCTTCATGATGCTCTTAGGGCCGTAAATAAACAAACAAGATGGCGACTCACCGTAACATCGATAAGAAGCTAAATTTGACAAAAATTTCAATTATACGGCAGTAATAATTTAGACTAGCATATCTACGAATAACACACGAAAAAAACACGAAAACATTGTTAAATCGCCTTTCACCTTTATCACAGGTGGATGTAAGATGTGCATAACCTCAATATTGCTTGCTGATAACAGCCATCTTCTTTGTTTATTTACGGCCCTAAGAGCATCGTGTCAGCCTATTCGCTCGCGACCAATGAAAAACCGGAACAGAAATGGCCATACTCTGTCTATAAAGGTACTCTAGATGCTATTAGTTCTTCTATACACATACGTGCTTTCATAGGTGAGCCACAAATAGAATTTCATTACTGCAAAATGTAGTTCAAATCAAGTAGCTGAGGACAAGATCACGTTAAAAAAAGCTAAAAAAAATGGGCAATAAAAGGCTAGACATTTTAAGAGCCCAGGAGGGCAGGACGTTCCGAGTTATCATAGGCTTTTTCTGTTTTTTAAATACGCCACTGATGATGTTTAAAACTATCTATTCTGTTGCTAGGTGCTCATTGCGAATGAGAGACGCCGGAGAACCATGTTAAGGGTGATATATGTAGAAGTTCCATAACATCTGACTGTATGTAACTTCAAAGCATGGAAGTCATGCCAACTTAATTCTAGGATCATTTTTTTTAGGACAAAAAATTTTCTGTGATTGGCTTTTTTCATTATCCTCTCTGACAGAGAACGGCAATCACTATCTGGCTTGAATTCAAGAGATACAGCAGAATGTCTCAAAGCAAATGGCCATGACTATCACATGACACGTGACTGGTTGCTAGTCGTATTTTTTAAAAAAAAAAAAAAAAAAAAAAAAAAAAAAAAAAAAAAAAAAAAAAAGGTGATATTATTGCCCTTTTTTCGGGAATTTGAGAATTTCATTAAAGCGTGACTAAAATAAGACATTCGAATGATACAGCTTTGTGAAACTTTTCACTTCAGTTCAAGGCTCGTTCAAAGTATAGTTCAGTACTATGGCGTCGCGAAGTTTACTTTATTTTATGTATTACAAAATGCCTATATCTGTATGCTAAAAACGTTTACTTAGCATCGCGCTGTGTCGCCAGAACTAAAGTACCTGTATACGGGAGAATATTGTCATCTCCGTGCCGCTCTGCGATTGGTTCATCAATTTTAGGCTATCACGGAGCTCCAAAGTTGGTCCAATCCAAACAATCCCGACCCAGAGGAATACGTATAATTGGCTAAGAAATGAATGATAATCACACTCGAGGCTTAATTTTCAGCAAAAATATTCGCCAAAGTTCGATCCGAACTCTATATTAAAAAATTTAATAAAATATAAAAAATTCCTATAATCACACCCAAAATCACGTCTAGAACTTTGCAGAACTTTGTCGCCATCTTGTTTGTTTACATTGGACCAAACTAGGAGCGGAGGTGTGGGGTTTGTTTACATTGGGCCAACTTTGGGGCTCCATGATAGCCGACCAATCCGAGAGCGGCACAGTAGAAGGATTGAGGTGGCAATACTCTCCCGTATACTAGTACTCCAGCCAGAACCAGTTTTGAGCTCAAGCTAAAATTCCTTTTTGAGGCTTTCTTCATGACAAGGTTTCATTTCAGCCACATGTCAAGGATATACAAACATCACATGAGCTATCAAGCATGATCTTTTCCCCGAGGAATCACGAATTTTCAGGATTTGTAAATATTTCTCCTCTCATATTTCAGAGGATGTCTTTCGTAATCTGATCCAAAAAGTCTGAAAATCTCAAGGAAAAATATTCATAATTTCCTTTGAAAATAAATATTTTTAAAGGAGAAATTTGGCAGCATTCCAGAGCTTATACACTAATACTAAATATACTAAATATTTGAGTTCTTGTGTTGCTTTTGATTAATATAGGAAGTGGAGCACAAACCAACACATTTTGAATTGATTTTGGTGCAATTTGCGGTGAATTCATCGCAGAAAACAATGGAAAGGCCGGGAAAACGCAGTCCTCCGATTGCGACGTTGATAGTCGCCACTCGTTTTTTTTATCGAATTACTCCAAGAAAACTATGTGTCATTTTCTCTTGAAATTGTCGACCAAAGGCTAGGATTACTTCTTGTTTTACTTCCCGTATTAACCAAACTTTTGAGTTGAAATTTCTTTCTGTGTACGGTGTTTTTATTTAGCACGGCAGTGTGAGGCTTTCACTTTCCTCGTAAAGTGAACGCGAGGATATGAATGACTTTAAAATCAGCGACTGACACTGCCATGCTAAGGAAAAACGCCGCATGAACCTTCAAGCGTGGCCAAACTTCCTTCAACAAACCACAGATTTTCAGGAACATTAGTGAGTGTTTCTCTTCCGATTTTTCAGAGGATTCCATTCGTAATTTGATGTAAAAAGTCTGAAAATTGCGAGTATTCGTAACTTTCTTCCAAAATAAATCTTCTTCGAGAGAAAATTTGGCAACATTTGAGTGCTCATACGGCGTTCTTCCTTAGCAGGGAAGAACAGACAAGCAGATCCCTTTCTCCCTTTGCCCCTATAAGAACACACATTTCTAGTTCGCTGTATCTATTTCTCGGCGTTTCGTGATAGAAAAACGAGAACTTTGAGATTCGTATTGGTAAGTACCTGTTTGGGGCATTTACTGTTGTCATGAAACAAGCGGAAGCAGGTGCAGCACTGTTGTTTACATCACCAAACCACGCGTCGGACCCCGAGATATCCCAACGTTCCTCGAGTCCACCACTAGAACCCGAAATTTAGCACTCGCACTTAGCTGGAGCGGCACGCGAACAACAAAGGACTGGGTGACAACTTGGAAAGCTACATCGCAGAAGCTGGCGCGGCTCCGGGCGAGGGCTCCCGCTGGCGAGGGGATCGGCGAGGGACTGGAGGGTCCGACTCGGCGGGACTCGGGACTCGGGAACGGGGGCTGCGCGCGCACGGGCGATGGGACGGCGGATCGATAGCCGGAGCCGCGGGGACGGGGAGGAAGGACGGAAGCGGAGGAAGGAGGACCTGCCGGGGGCGGCCGCGGAGGGTGGAAGGCGCGGAAGGGTTGAGGATCCCGATCCGCGGGTGCGGGCCACGGTCGCGACCTTCCGCCCGATTAGCCACGGCTTACGCTCGTCCTACCCCCGGCCCGCGACGCTGAGTCAACGGCATCGACTTTTCCTCAGGATATCCCCTATCGGACGATACCCACATCTGTAGTAAAGAGCTAAAGGAATGTGACTATAATGCCGCAATCACACGCTGAATGTGGGAGCTGAATGTGGCTTGAATGTGGGAGTCATCGGCCCGATGCCTGAATTTTGCGCGTGACGAGCAAAATTCAGCAACCATCGGACTAATGTTGGATTTGTCTGAACTATTCGAATAGATTTGATACACATCTGGTTGAAAATAACTCGAATTTGCGAAATTTCAGCCGTTGGGCGATGACTGTTGACTTCCATATTCAGCTACTAAATTCAGCGTGTGATTGCGGCATTTGAGTTTTCGAGAAATCGAGTTCAGGGTGTCTACTAAAATAGGCTGGCAAAAAATCAGTACATTCCCAAGAAATTCAGTACCTCCCCAACAGAAAAATTCAGTACTTTTTCAGTGCCTCCATTTGGTAAAATCCGAAAATTTTCACAAATTTGAATTTCTCGCTCTAACTGCGACAAAAATTACAAAAAGTTGAAACACATTCCGGACTTTCTTGCGGGATTTCCGCACTTTGACAGTACTTCCGGACCGCCCTTGAAAGTTCAGTACTATTTCCGGACTTTCCTGAAATTCCGGACTTGTAGACACCCTGGAGTTACACATTAGTATTCTCGACTAAAAGTGCGGCGCTTATGCTCATGCTACCCCGTCCCGCGACGTTGCGTCAACGGCATCAGCTTTTCCTTAGGATTTCCTCATCGGACGATACCGACGATATATTGACGGGGAACTCCCAAACCACTTATCTCGGTTCACAACGTTGCAGATTTCCGGCCAGACTTTATTTTCAAACGGGAAAACTACTCAACGTGGGGGAGTGCCAACCCCCCCGAAGGGCTCTGGGACGATTGAGGACTTTGGCGGCTGGGAGTCGCAGAGCGCCAAAGCGCCTGAGAAAACGGCTTCTACGGATGTATGCAAATTACTCAACGTCAATTCTTGAAAACTTCCACAATTTAGTTCTCCGCGCGAGGAAAATTCTGTGAAAATTGCGAGAAAATTGAAGATTCGTCAAATGCTGTTTGACAACTTATGAAGGTTCATACGGTGTTCTTCCTTAGCACGGCAGTGCTGTCCATGACATGCCTCGAAAAAGTGAAAAAAAACTCGAGAGGCCACTCGACGGAACGCATCCAACGATAAAAATAATTATTAAATGGATCCGTCAAAACAAACTCAGTGAATGTTCCCAGAGCGCGCGTTCCAGGGTAAATAAAGTGGCGGCCTGACAACAATAGCTGGAAGCTTGAATGGAGGGCGATGCGACGCTGACGTCATCAATGTGTTGCGTTGATACCGTAGTCGGGGGCGGAGGGTAGGGGGTCGAGGGTGGCACGTGTTAGATAACATCGATGACGTTTCCAACTTCCTCGCCTCCTCCTTTCAAATTTTCAAATGCGACAACACTCCGTTGCCAAACCCGCGCATTGTGGCTATCATCTTGTAAAAGCTCACTTGGAGTGCATTTTGCAAAAAAGGAACAATGCAAGAGCATTCCAATGTTGCTAGGATTGTGCAACTTACATCCTTTGCAATAGAATTACTGAAATAATGCGACAAATTAAATTTACAAAAGTAATTTGCGTCTTGAATTATAGTTTATTGGGAGTAAAGATAAAACTTGCTTAGATTATCAGTTTACGTTTGCATAGTAAAAAGAAGTTGCACAATCTTAGCGACACTGGAATGCTCTTGCAGGTTCTTTTTTGCAAAATGCAATTCACTTATACAAGACAATAAGCGAATTTTTTTCCAAAGTTCGCAACTTCTTTGGAAGTTCTGTCCGGTTTCAACTGGAATACCTGTATACGGGAGAGTATTGCCGTTTCAATCCCTCTACTACAGAAAAAGTGTGCAGATTTCTGATTGGTCGGCTATCATAGAGCCCCAAAGTTGGCCCAATGTAAACAAACGAGATGGCAACAAAGTTCCACCAAGTTCTGGATGTGATTTTGGATGTAGTAGAAATTTTTTATATTCAACTTCTGAGTTGAGTTCGGATCGGACTTAGACGAATATTTTTGCCGAAAATTAAGCCTCGAGTGTGATTATCATTACCTACTACTAAAAGCGCCCTATTTTCGTGCAACAACAACTTACGAGTGCAACGAGTGACACATTTCGTTATTTTACGAGCGGGAAAAATTGGAGCCGCCTCGGATTTTTCGATAACCAGGTCTGGATACAACTATTCGTGCTCTGGGGATGTCCGTGTTGCATAAGCGAACAATTGCAGGCGCTCCGGTTTTCTTACGCACAACGCACGGCTACGGTTGTTCGTTCCCAAGAGCTTCAGCTTCTTCGATACATTTACAATCATGAGCACCATGAAATCCTCGAAATTCGGATGAGTCATGTTGGCAGTGTTGCAAAAGTATGCAAAGTTCGAAAATAGTATCGTTAATAATTTGCGAGATTATCATCCGCAATGCTGGAAATGCTCTTCGTGAAAATAGCGCACCATTTTGCAAAGTTAGCTGTCATGGTGTTACACGAACACGACTCATCCATGTTTCGAGAATTTCATGGAGTACACAATTTGTAAGTGCAACGTAGTAAGCTCTCGAGAACTGACAGCTGAAACCGTGCGTTTTTCGTGAGAAAATCAGAGCGCCTGCAAATTTTCGCATATGCGACATGGACATCCCACGAACAAGAATAGTTGTATCCAAAAGTAGCCATTGATAAAGCCGGAGAGACTTAATTTTTCCGCTTTTGATGACTGAATCTTCTCATTTAAACGTATCCTATTAATTCTTTGCTATCTTCCTTACGTGACAGCGCTACCAAATAGTGCAATTTGCGGAACCCTTTAAAGCCGAACACACAATTCTGAGCGTAAAGTATTTTGAAAGTGAGAATATGCGTTTTGGCTGGAAGAAAAAAATCCGCGGAAAAATTCCCCAACTTTTTCTGACTTCTCAAAGTCGGGCTGAATTCCTTGAAACTTTGATCCTCCTACAAATCAAGCATCGTTCATGAATTGAAACTCTGCCTCAAAGACATTATCGATCCATTTTCAAAACCTGACTCGAATTTGAATACCAACGGTTGATAGTGTGCGTTTCTTATTTCTATTTCGATAAAAAAAAAAAAAAAAAAAAAAAAAAAAAAAAAAACTCCTGAGCTTTTTCGTACCTATGTGCCGTCCGCTTCATAAGCACAACCGGCTGATTGTTGTAACTGATAGACAAAGCGATAAACATGGAAGACGAAAGGAGTATGGAGCGATCTTATTGGTTGAAATGGGCGATTCTTATAGAGTAAGAGGGGAAAATTCGATGGACTAACTATAGGGTCTCTCAAGGATTGCCGTTAGTTAGTCTATTACCTACTTCCTTTGTTAATTGCAACCACCCGCTTCCACCAATAAGATCCCTCCATATCCTTTTTGTCTTATTTGTCTACAGCTTTGTCTACCAATTTCAACAATCAGCTTACAGGAGTTACACACATTCTTTTCTTCTTTGCACGACAGCATTCACGTCGTTTTAGGAGTAGGCGTGTTTAGTGTTTCCGTTAGCTTAATATTTTGACAAGGTCTATTTTGTTGTGATCGGTTGCAAGAGTAGATAATAATAACGTACAATAAAAAAAACTCCCAAATTTTTGCGGACCGGAAGAAGGTGGGCAAGACGCAGCTTGAGTACGCATTCAAACCGTTTCGGGGACTTGACTGAAGGGATGTAAGACAATCATTTCAAGGGCGCGATGATTATTTGCAGAGAGGGAAACTTCTTTCGCCTTTGTAACTTCAATCGAGTTAGGGCTCATTGTCAGCGCAAAGGAGTGCGATTTGGGGGTTGATCTGATCGCGAGTAATGGATTTCTGCAGATGTGATGAAAGTTGCAGCCTTCCGCAAAACACCAGAGCGTTGATGATCGATCATCGATATTGCCTCATTTGAACAGGGTGTCAAGTTTTTTTTTCATTTTACGAAATCCTGATTTTTCCTGATTTTTGAATGCTAAATCCTGATTTCATAATTTTTCCAAATCCTGATTTTTTGCGGAGAAAAATTAAGATGTCTTCATAAGCGTATATGCGAAAACAGAACTCGAGAATTAAGTTCTGAGGACTTTTCTCAAATCTTGATTTTACGACTGATTTTTCCTCAAATCCCGATGAGATCCGGAAAATCCTGATGCTAGACGCCCTGTTGAAGCATAAGGTAAAGAATCGATTATGAAGATGTTCGTTGCGAACACCTTGTATACCGATCCATTTCTATTAGTTTGAATGACAGATCAATCGATATATCGCAAAGCACGCCACGCTACTGGTATGAGTATGAGCACTCTGGAAAAAAAACACATTGGATCTAGAGTCTAGACTCTTAAAAACATAAACAAGAAAAAGGACTCTTCATTCAATCAGAATCTAACTTAAATCAAGAACCAAGCCTCTTAATTTAAGCGGATTTTGTTTTAATTCAAGCAAAAATCCGATTGAATCAAGAGTATTTTTTCTTGTCAATGTTTTCAAGAGTCTGGAATCTAGATCCAATGTGTTTTTTTCCCAGTGAAGTATGAAAAATATAAAATCTGATGACGCGGGAAACTGCATAGAGTATACGCGTATGTGCCTTGGCAACGCGGCTTTTGCTTAAATACTTCCGAAAAATCACTTTCTCTCGAGAGCACGGTTGTGGAGGTATAAGT